ATATTGAACAATGGTCTTAGCTTGCATACCAAGTGAATCAAACACACTCAAATCCACACCAAAACTTTCAAACAAAGTGGTGAGAAAAGGACCATAACCAACAGTATACTTAGGTATACAATGATTAAGATGTTGGATCATAATTGATGGAAAATTAATGTGCAAATTATTGCCTAAACAATAAATTAGAGCACAATCTAGCAAACCCGCCTCATATCTCTTTTGTGGTCGAGGAATTACTCCCTTTCTAACAATGCTAAATAATAATTTCACCAAAGGTGATGAGAAATTATTTTGAGACACCACTGTCATAGTAGAATCACAAGTACTACCCCAAACATACTTCACTATTTGTTCATGAGTATCACCAATTTGCACAGTATGTTTGTGCTTAAAATAGTCACAATAACCAACATTAGGAACACTAAACAATTTTGCTAGATATTGTGCATCGAAAGATAGAGAAGTACCATTCACCTTACTTGTACAAACACCATTCACACAACTAAAATTAAGCACAAATTCATTGACGGCACCCGGAATTAAGGGTCTCTTTGCATGAACATTTAATAATTGAACCCAACCTTGAAACTCTAGTATATCAAGTAGTTCAGAAAACTTACTAGATTGACACCATTCCAAGTTTAAAGCAAAACCCCGAGTAAGACGATCGGCTTCGAGTGTGAGTGCTTTTAAACGCTCCTTAGCTTCCCCCTTAGATGGACCTCCATCTATCTTTCGTCTCTTGGTTATGCGGTTAGTGGAATTTGGGGAAAAACTAGGTTCGATCTATTGAGGTTTTGAATTTTCCGATGTATTTGCCGATTTTGTTACGGGATTGGTTGTTTGTGTAGGGGAGTACGGAGATGCACCCATCGGAGTCGGTGAGTCCGTAGATGGTGAAGAGGTACGGGGTCTTTTCGTTGATTGGTGAGGGAGTAGGGTGTTGTTACTTGTTTTTTCCATTGAAGGGTGTTGGTGTGTTTTACAGAGGAGAGATAAAAAGAAAGGGGTAAAAGGTGTTGGGAAGAAGAAAGGTTATGTGGTTGAGGTAATAAGTAAAGGAGTTTGAGTGGAATAAGGTCATAAGAATGCCTTACACTCATAATATAGTCTGACAAAAATTTCTAACTCTTCGGATTTTTTTTTTTTTTTTTTTTTGAAATGTGAATAAGATTAAAAGATGGAACAAAAAAAAAATAAAAGACAAGTTTTAGAAGAGGTCTTTGGCTATGTTTACGGAAGAGAATGTTTAGGGGGATAAATAAACCTTTTTGTAGATAATAGAGAAAAATAAAAAATAAAAAATTAGAAGATAAAATATGAGTGAAAAAGATAAATAAAAGATACATGCTACATAACACAACAGGAACTTTAACAAGTCAACATGCTTATTTTTCTAGTTTATACGATCAATTTGCACACATAGCAATTAACAAGTACTCATCTTGTATGATGATTATTTACTGGATACAACTCTAAATATGCTTTTGCACAATATTTTTATGCTGGATTTTTCATGACACATACTAGTTATTTGAGTCATACCTAATTAGGAGATTTGCGTGCAATTCAGTGAATTTTTATCATACGAAGTTCCAATCTCATCTTTTCATGCTTCTCCCTGCTTAAAGGTTTAGTCAAAATATCTGCAATTTGATTATCAGTTGGGCAGAAATCTAATTTAATAAAACCTTTTTCAACGTTGTCCTTTAAAAAGTGATGACGAATTTGAATATTCTTTACACTAGAATGATGTACCGGATCTTTAGAGATGCAAATAGCACTAGTATTATCACAATAAATAGGAACACATTCTAGAATAATACCAAAATCTCTTAACTGTTGTTTTATCCAAAGTATTTGGGAGCAGCAAGAGGTCGCAGCTACATATTCTGCTTCTGCAGTGGATAAAGCAACAGTATTTTGTTTCTTAGAACCCCAAGAAACCAAACACGGACCAAGAAATTGAACCATACCTGATGTACTCTTGCGGTTTACCAAGTCTCCAGCATAGTCTGCATCTTCATATCCTCTTAAGTTGAACGTATCACTCTTAGGATAGAATACATAGATCGTCTGTTCCATTTAGGTACCTCAGAATCCTTTTTACAGCAGTCATATGAGATTCCTTGTGATTTGATTGGAACCTAGCACATAGACCCACACTAAAAGAAATATCTGGTCTACTTGCCGTTAGATATAATAATGAGCCAATCATCCCACGGTACTTGGTTTGATTTACACTTTTTCCTTTGGGATCTTCATCTAGACGTGTAGCCGTTCCCATTGGAGTGTGATTTGTCTTTAAAGTGTTGAGCTCATACTTCTTTAATAACTCCTTGATGTACTTTTGTTGGTGAATCATTATTCCTATGTCAGTTTGCTTGATTTGTAGTCCGAGGAAAAAATTTAGTTCCCCCATCATACTCATTTCAAATTCACCACTCATTAGCTCAGCAAAATATTTACACAAAGACTAGTTAGTTGCACCAAATATAATGTCATCTACATAAATTTGTATAACTAAAAGATGAGTTCCTTTTGATTTCAAAAATAAAGTTTTATCAACATTTCCTCTTTTAAAATCATTTTGTAAAAGAAACTTTGAAAGTCTTTCGTACCATGCCCTAGGTGCTTGCTTTAGCCTGTAAAGAGCTTTGTCAAGCTTAAATACATGATTAGGAAAGTTTGGATTTTCAAAAACCGGGGGTTGTTCCACATAAACTTTTTCTTGAAGATAGCCATTTTAAAAAGCACATTTAACGTCCATTTGATATAATTTAAAACCCATGAAAGCAGCAAAAGCAACTAAAATTTGAATAGCTTCTAATCTAGCAACGGGAGCAAAATTCTCCTCAAAATCAACACCTTCTTGTTGGTTGTAACCTTTGACAACCAATCGAGCCTTATTTCTTGTAATGTTTCCATGGTCATCTAATTTGTTTCGAAATACCCACTTTAGTCTAATGACCTTATGGTTCTTCGGTTTAGGTTCAAGGTGCCATACCTTGTTCCTTTCAAATTCATTTAGCTCTTCTTGCATGTCGTTGATCCAATCTGCATCACCTAAGGCTTCGGTATGATTTTTTGGTTCTATAGTAGATAAGTAGGCATAAAAGGCACAAAGATTTCGGAGTTGGGATCTTGTTTGGGTTCCTTTGCCAAGGTCACTTATGATTTTATAAATTGGATGTGATTTTTGGTGTTTCCAAGGTTTAGGTTGGAAATTTTGCAAAGTTACTCGATTGGATCCTTCAACATTTGTTTCTGCAGCTTCTATTGCTACTTCATCCACAACCTGTTCCAAATCTTCATCATGTATTCCATTGTCTTCTGGAACAGGAGTTTTTTCTAGCTCATGTTGCGGTTCTGCTACAATTTTGACCTGGTGCTTTACTGGTAAAGGGGCTTCTTCTTCATCCTGGTCAGTGGAACGGATCAGACCAATTTCAAAGTCTCCTTGTTCCTATTCAAGCTCATGTTCCTGTACATTAGATAGACAGTCAGTTTCATCAAAAATAATATGTACAAACTCCTCAACACACATTGTCCTTTTATTATAGACTCTGTAAGCTTTGCTATTCCTTGCATAGCCAAGGACTACAGCTTCATCACTCCTTTCATCTAATTTCCCTATGTTTCTCTTACCATTGTTGTGCACGAAACACTTGCAACCAAAAGATCAGAAATGAGATATATTTGGTTTTCTATCCTTGAATAACTCATAGGATGTCCTGTTAGTTATTGGTCGGATCATGACTCTATTGATTATATAACATGCAGTATTTACTGCCTCGGCCCAAAAGTTCCTAGGAAGATTGCTAGCAATAAGCATGGTTCTAGCCATATCTTCCAAGGATCTATTTTTCCTTTCTACTACTCCATTTTGTTGTGGAGTTCTTGGAGCCGAGAAATTATGATGCATTCCGTGTTCCCTGCAAAACTCATCAAAACTTGAGTTTTCAAACTCAGTGCCATGGACAGAACACATACTTATTAGTTGATAACCACTTATCTTTTGAATTCTTTTAGCAAAAGCAGTAAATTCATCAAAAGTCTTATCTTTGCTAGAAAGAAATATTACCCATGTAAAACGAGAAAAGTCATCAACTATTACCAGAACATATCTTTTACCACTTCTACTCTGTACCCTCATTGGACCACACAAGTCCATGTGAATGTGTTCCAAAGGTTTAGTGGAACTTACCATTTTCTTACTTTTAAATGAGGATCTTACTTGTTTCCCTCTTACACATGCATTGCAAACTTTTCCACTTAGAAACTTTATTGAGGGAAGCCCCACAACAAGCTCTTGTGTCCTAAGCTTGTCGATGAGAGGAATACTAGCTAGCATGTCCAAGGCGTCTATGCCATAGAAGTGAGTCATCTTCAATGACACTGAGACAAGTTAGGTTGTTCCTAGGAACTGTGCTGAGATCCACAATGTATGTGTTCCCTTTACGAATTCCTTCCAAGATAACCTCCTCACTGTCATTGTTAAAAACTCTACAGGAGTTAGAAGTGAAACTTACAGAGTTGCCTTTATCACAAAATTGTGAGATGCTTAATAAGTTGTGCTTGAGGCCCTCGACTAAAAATACATTGTCAATTGCATGGGAACTTGACTTTCCTACTTTTCCAATTGCGATTATCTCGCCTTTCTTGTTGTCTCGTTCCTCCATTATAGGTCTCCAGTGAGAGAAATTTAGATTTGTCTCCTGTCATGTGTTTGGAACACCCACTGTCGAGGTACCAAGTGTTGTTCCCCCTCACTGCGACCTGTAAGAAAACTAATTGTTTGTTTCAGGAACTCAGGTTTCCTCGAGTTCCTTTTCATCACCACTAGTTTTCTTAACCCACATCAATTTAACAGTATTTTCATTTTTGAGAATTTTCTTATTCCGTTTGGAACAAGCATCTTTCAAGTGTCTTGTATTACCACAAAAGGAGCAGAGCTTGTTGCTAGGTAAATCTACATATTTATTCTTCTTAGGGCTCTACCTGGAGAAACCTAATCCTTCTCTTTTTCGAACTTGGGCATCAAGGATATATTTAGGAGTAATCTTAGGAACTTCCTTCTTTCTAGCATTAGCTAAAGCAAGTTCCTTTTCAAGTTTTTCCTTTTGTTCCTTAACGGTAACAAGATCATTATTCAGTTTCTCAAAATCAACATTGAAAATACGCATATGTGTCTCAATAGAACTAGCAGAATCTAGACTAACATTAAACAGTTTATATTGAGCAAGTTCTACATTAAGAGTAATATTCTCATGCTTAGTACGTTTTAAAGACTCTTTTAGCACAGTGTTTTGATCCAAAAGATCAAAGAACCTACTTTGAACGTCTGATCTAGTACTGTTCAGATAGGTGATATGGTCTTTACTAATTTTGAGAGCTCTATCACTTTGTTCCTTTACTATGCTAAGCTTTTTAAAATCATCCAATGTTTCTAACAACAATTCAATTAATTTTTCCTTAGATAAAACACAAAGGATTTTGGAACATACCTCATTTGATGGAACATCTTTCTTTTCTTTTATTTTGGCCATTAGACACAGATTAGCCATCTCTTCATTTTGTGGCTCCTCATCATCTTCTGATTCTGAGTCACTACCCCAAGCTGAAATCATTGCCTTGCGATAGTTAGGTTTTCCAAAGGTTGGTTTGTATCTTTCTGTTGTCTGCTCCTTTCCTTTGGCTTTTCCTTGATCAGTTTCCCAAAGAGGACACTCACGAATGAGGTGTTCCGAACTTCCACACTTGAAGCATCCGGAATCAGGTTTAGAATTTGATATTCTCTTGCTTGGATTTTTATCCTTTTGGTTTCCAGTTTTAAGATTTTTATAGAATCTCCTAAACTTTCTAACCATCATGGAAACTTCTTCTTCGTCAGGTTCTGAATCTTCTTGTTCCTCAACCCTAAGCACAAGTCCACGGTTTTTGGAAATCTCTGTGTTACTTGCTCCAAGGTGCAGCTCATGAGTCATGAGAGATCCGACCAGTTGCTCAATATTGAATTTTGTGAAATCCTTTGTTTCTTGCAACGCAGTAACTTTGGCTCTCCATCTCTCATCTTGTGGAAGGCTCCTTAAGATCTTTCGTACCTGTTCATCAATTGGTATAGTTCTTCCAAGAGAGACTAACTCATTATTTTTGTTAGTAAAACGAGTAAACATTTCTTGAATAGATTCTTTTGGATTCATTTCAAATCGTTCATATTTAGACATCAAAAGATCTATTTTAGAACGGTTAACTTCGTTTGTTCCTTTGTGTGTGACTTGTAACAAATCCCAAATTTGCTTTGCGTTCTTGCACCCCATGACTTTATTATGTTCATGAGGTCCAAGACCACAGTGGAGCAATTTTACAGCTCTAGCATTAACCTCCATTTTATCAAAATCATCTTTATCATACTCGGACATTGGTTTAGGGATTACCTCGTTTTTGTCATTGGTAGTTGTTACCTCAAAGTCGCCCACTTCAATAACTCGCCACACTTGATAGTTTTCTGCTTTGATGAAGATTTCCATGCGGTTCTTCCAATAGGAAAAGAAATTTTCGTTGAACATTGGAGGTCTCTGAGTAGAGTAACCTTCTTCAAGTTTCTTGTGTGTGTTCATTTTGTTTGGATCACACAACTCAACAGGGTTGCCTGCTTTCTTTGAGTAACCTGCTCTGATACCACTTGTTAACTTAGATGGAACACACAAGAGGGGGGTGAATTGTGTAGGAACTAGTGTTCCCAAATTTTGCGGAAATTAAAAACGTAGAACGAAATAAAGAGATGCAAAGAGATTTTTACGTGGAAACTTCTTGTGCCCAACAAGGAGAAAACCATGACCACTTGGGATTTTCGAACATGACTTCACTAAATAGGGCAACTACTCCATTACAACCTATAAGGAACTCGACAAAACTTAAGTTCCAATTAGAACCTTAGCCAACCCCAAATGCTCACTCTAGCTTCTGCTCCGAAGCCTACACTCAAGACTTAACTCTAAGTCTTTACAAGGATCACTCAACCCTTTCCCAAATTACAACTCAGTAATTTGAACTCTACGTGTTTAGATATCTTAAAATAGTTGGAACATAGGAATACTCTCACTGACAAATATATATTTTTTTTCTCAAATGTTGTACGATTGTCATGGTTACCTTAAAACTGAAACTCAACTCTTTTTTTTATACTGTTTCATCAACCCAACCACCTTCCCCACATTCTCCACTACTTGAGGTGTTGTTACTAAATTTTAGGAACTAACTCAAGCAATGTAGAGAAGTCAGGAAAGTCGTTCAATATAGAACGTGGGATGAGGTTTGAATAAATCTTTTCCTTGGAGAGTAATTTAAGGAATCAGTTAAAATCTTTTTACAGAAGATATTTATTTTGTTAAAAAAAATAATAAAGAAATATCTTTTTATAATTTTAACAAAAACCAAAAATAAGATAAAAACCAATTTTATAAAATAGATTGATCGTTTCACTTTTAATTCCAATTAACTCTCGTATTCCTTGTGTTCCAACCAATCATAAAATATCAAACACTTACATAAAGCCTAAGAAAAATAACTCATACTTTTTAGTCTTCATGTAATACTCGTTGCTTTTATGATATTCCAATTGGACCTTTGATAACTCTATCTTGCCAAATAGAACATCCAAGCATAAAACCTTCTTTGCCTTCTTTACTTCAAATTGGTGTGTATGCCATATGTAGATTAAGGACTTCTCTTAGTTCCAACCCCGGAACTTTGTTCTTAATAAGAACTTGCCTAAATAACCTGCACACTTAATACACTTTTATCAAATCGAGTTTGGTTGTCATCACCAAAACTAATCGAGGTCAACAATGGTGATGATGACCCTTTTGGTGTGTACATCAATGGGACAAGGAGAATGTTTCAATGGGGCTTGCCCCAATGGGCTGTGCTGTAGCCAGTTTGGCTACTGTGGCAGCGAACCCGCTTACTGTGGCGGTGTCGAGAAGGCTCAAGCCCAGCCTTCTACCGATCTTCCTAAAACTCGCAAGGTTGGTATTAAAGCCCCTTGATCGATCTATGCAACTCATTATTATGGCCTGAGGGTTACCTCCTAAGTAATCTCTTTGTGCCTCACTACTTGTTATCTGATACAAATAAGCTCCTATATATAATATAGGGGCATTTTAAGTTAACGTATGATGTTACTTTGTTTGTACGTAATCAAATGATCGAATAAGTATTGTTCATCTTATAAATGTTATCGTACATGTTTGTTTTTTCAATAGATCTTGAATTGAATGTTGTGTCTTTATATGTCTTATGTCCAGTGTTGCTTAAAAAGTGGTATTGTTTGTTCTTTCTCAATTTGGAAGTTAGATTATTGTTAGCTGTGTGGTACATCCAAAGTTTGGATTATTAGTACTTCCTCCGTTTTTATTTTATTGCACGGTTGCACCATTATGATTTTTACACTATTCACTTAATATTCTTTGACCATCATTTGTGATTTATACATTATGAAAAAATATAGTCATGTGAGACCTAGTTAGATTTGTATCGAACTCTACTTTTCAAAAATCAAATTTTTATAATTTTTACAAAAGTATAATTGAAGATATTGATAGCTAAAGTAATGCATTGGCAAGCGTGAAATCCCTTATGGTGTAAAAAAAAAGAACGGAGGAAGTATAAATTTTTTAAAAAAAATCTCTATATTCGTAATACAAGATCATCAAACAAAAAAAAAAAAAAAAAAAAAAAAAAAAAAAAAGAATGAACGAGTTTCTAATTTTAGACTAAACATCATAAGATTTGCAAATCATAATGAGAACTCAAATTAATACTTCAAATAACATACATAATACAATAATAATGATGAGAAATCAAGTCTTGGATCACGTTCTCTATTTCGAAGGAGGAATAACACATAAAAATTAATTAATAGGGTCACAAACTAGTAGAGAGGGACTTCTATATGATTTGAATACAACCAATTCAGATCAAGAAACAAAATCAAGTTCTTATAAATCGCTTGGACACCATACAAGATGAGAATAGCATACTTAAAGGTCATAATATGGATTCATTTAAAACACAATTGAAAGTATTAAAGATCTTTCAGCGCAAAAACTTAATTTTTCTATATTTGTTGGAGAGAGCTTCAAATTCGCATGAGGCAAATATTTGATGAATGATTAATGCGCGGGTACAACATTCCATATCTCAGCACAAGACATTAATATATTTTTTTTTTATTATTATTATTGTTCTTATTTTGAAGTGTAATAAGTTCTTATCACTACTTATAAATCAACGGTCTCTTCTATGTATCTTAATAGTTATATTGTGTTAACTCTGCTGATTTGCATAGAATATAATTTTAACCTAACATTATTAATTGCTGGAAGTGAACCAATTTATATTACGGGCAAAAGCTTAGCCTATGGCCTGGCCACCTCTAATGTGACTCATGCATGCATGCATGTAGACTGTTGAGACTATAATCAAACTCGTGTAAGTGAGTGCGTGAAACGATATGTATGTATGACAATTGACAAACTAAAGAAAATTTAAAGTTTTTGCTGGAATGTTCAAATGTGTTGTCTTACTCGTGGAAAAAGGACATCGATTATTACACTATATGGAGCACGTCTGCACGTAATTAATCATGTCAATTTATCTTGGTAATATTATATACTCTATATTTTTTATGAATTCACTTTAATTTACTTTTTAACACATAACAAAATTCACTTCAACAATATTATGTACTAATCTATATGAAATTAGTATCATACTCACAATTTATACATACAGAGTATTATATTTTTTTTCTTTGATATTATTCAAATATTATAACTCCAGTTTTCTAAAAATATTTACTTAAGTTTATAGTCGTGTCTTAACAAACATGTCATTTAAAAAAAAATGTTGTATAAGTGGATTATCATTTAAATTTTATTTTATTTACTTCTTTGAAAGTATAATTTGGGAGGATATAGATGGCCAAATTGATAATAATTAGAATAATGTTTTTCTAAGGAATCTTTGTCAAATTTTATGCAATGAAAATAAAATTTTTTGAAAACTCTTTAAGTCAAATTTTGTTAAGTAAAATATTTGTATATTAGAATTAGATTTTATAAAATATTATTATTTTTGAAAAATGATTTAGAAGATCTGATACAAGTATTAATTGAAATTATATTTTTTGAAAAATATAATTTCCAAAAATCCTTTTGAAGTTTTGTTGAAATTTAAATATTTTTTGAAAAATGTTTAATTTCAATCTAGTGGATATTTGTACAACTTGCATGAAAATTGTGGTATATACAAAATAATCATGTCTTTTTTTTATCATGTCAAACTATCCAGTGTAGACTATTCTTTCATTCTTATTACGTGATAGACAATTAAGTATACAAATATATACAAGTATACAAGCATGAATAATTAAGAACGATTAGGAAATACAATTATACAAGTACTAGGTTAGTTCCCGTGTTATGCACGATTTTTCAATTTTTATCACGCCGTATCAATTTATTTTTTTATATTTTTTTTTTGTAAATCTCAAATCAAGCTACTTAATTTATTAATTTATTTTTTATATCTTTTTTAAATACATATTATATTGCTTCATTCTATTTTAATTAAAGGTGGTCCAACAATGGTTGGTTGGTACACTGGGTGCTAATGGTACACCCAGATTAATGCAGAAAGAACATTAGACTATTTTCGGCCTAAACAGCCAAGATTTTGGAGAAACTCTAGAAGAGAGGAGGAGAGAAGAGGAGAGGCGAGGCGAGGCGAGGGGAATGTATAATTTGTACTCCGTAACCTGCTTATCCCAACCAGTTTTGAATATTCAATGCTTAACTTTGTCAAAGGTGGTCCAATAATAGGATAATCCAATAATGTACACGTACAATAATATAGCTAAGTAGCGTAGCCAATAAAATCTCCCATGCACTAATTAAAATCCATGCATTTTCCCAAAAGACTGTGCATCTCATAACCCTATAAATACCCCCTCATTCATAGCCAAATTCATCACACAAAAAACTCGTAAAGCAAAGAGAAAAAAAAGTAAGAGTAAGTTAGTTACAAAAGTGAAGAAGAGTGAAAATGATGAAGGTGAAGAGCTTTGTGGTAATCATGGTGATGATGACCCTTTTGGTGGGTACATCAATGGGACAAGGAGAATGTGTCAATGGGGCTTGCCCCAATGGGCTGTGCTGTAGCCAGTTTGGCTACTGTGGCAGCGGACCCGCTTACTGTGGCGGTGTCGAGCAGGCTCAAGCCCAACCTTCTACTGATCTTCCTAAAACTCGCAAGGTTGGTGTTAAAGCCCCTTGATCGATCTATGCAACTCATTATTATGGCCTGAGGGTTACCTCCTAAGTAATCTCTTTGTGCCTCACTACTTGTTATCCACTATAAATAAGCTCCTATGTATAATATAGGGGGATTTTAAGTTAATGTACACTGTTACTTTGTTTGTAATCAAATGATCGAATAAGTATTGTTCATCTTATATATAAATGTTATCGTAAATGTTTGTTTTTTAACATATCTTGAATTGAATGTTGTGTTGTTATATGTCTTTTTTCCAGTGTTGAACTTAAAAAGTGGGATC